ACTCGTCTGCGATCGGAAATAAATTACAATAGCAATTAATTCTGGGAATTCCCAAATTACCTGTTCACAATGGTCTCTTTGAAATGAAGTTTTGGTATATTTATATTGATAGAAAAGTTGATAAATATACAGTTGTGAATTGCATAATAAAGCAATCAGTCGACTTCAAACAACACAGAACACTAATGAAAATTCTATTGAAGAAACTTAGGTTATTCTCAATACACCAACTATATAAAGATAATGAGATCTTGAATGTCAGCGGTTTATACTTCTATCAGTGTTTTCAGTGGCTTTCAAAAACAAACAAAACTACGAAAAAATCAGGCAGAATAAGTGTAAAACATTTAAGGAGATGATTCCTCAACGAAAAAAAGATAGGATCTTTCATATAATGTGGCTCGGAGTTATTAGGGACGATTCAATTGGACCTCATTTTCTATCTCCTCGATTAAATGGTGAGGCGTACGTTCAATTTTTAAGAGAAGTGCATCCAGTACTGCTGGAGAAAGTTCCTTTGGGCGTCAGAAGGGATATGTTTTTTTATGCATGAAGGGGCTCCCGCCTATTTTAGTCAAGTAGCACGTCTGCATTTGACTGAAACATATGCAAATCAGTGGATAGGTCGAGGAGGACCACAGAACTAGTCCACTCGATCCCCGGATCTCAATCCTCTCGATTTCTCTATTTGGGACCATTTACAGCATTTGGTTTATCGTACTCCTGTTCGCGATGTAGAGGACTTAAGGAACCGCATCATCGATGTGTGCAGGGTAATCAGAGAGACTCTAGGAATATTTGAGCGAATACGTGGTTCAATGCGCCGACGTCTAGACGCATGCGTAATTTCTGAAGGTAGACATATTAAACATTTTCTATGATTTCTACAAGTTGTGTGTTTTGTTATTAATTAATCAGTTTTGTTTATTACACTTTAATCGTTTAATGCAGGTACTAACTACAAAATAACAATAAATCCAGTTCGTATTTATGACGATGTATCTCTGTAGTTGTTCGTAACATAATTTTTTGCTGCGAACTGGTTTATTTTGGGCAAAAAACCCAAAAGACAGGCTATCGGAAATGAATTTTCAAATGGTGAGCAAATAATAAGACAAAAAGTTACATTGGAAATAAATTTTATGGGTTGCGTTTTCCACCCCTTACAACTATGGGGTGAACCAAATGAATTACTGGTTAGGTGTCTTTTTAGTAGTACAAAACAGGTTAATTTTAATATTGTAACTTTTTCAGTGCTTGTGAAAAAAATTGTTATTCAAATTTTATGTACCCCCTTTAAGGGGCTGTATCTTAACAAGGGATGCTCCTACGAAGTTGCTTCATGTGAAGGATCCTAATTTTTTTTCGATGAGGAATCACCTTCTCAAATGTTTTACACTTATTCAGTTACACCCTGTATACAAGATTCATTGAAAAACTATCTATCTGAACACCCAAATCCAGAAAGAGTCATACACAAAGATTTATACTTAATTTCGGACCTGTTCTATACAATATGTTATCCCTAAAAGTTAAGCATAAAACAAAACAGGTGAACTACAAACGGAAAACTAAAAGTGTTATTCGCGAAAACAATACACTGAGTNCCTTAAATGGACTCATATTGTGGTACCTCAACTGCCAATTCTTGACGAACAGTCTGATCGAAAGACTGAGGAAATTCTACTCCAACCTCAAAGACATAAAGATGACGTAATATGAATCATTTTGAATATGAATACAATATGATTCCTTCATAAAAAACGAAACTATTTCTATCCCATACGACTCATGGGTAACCTTTGGTTCTATCGAAAATTTGAAAGAATATCACACAAAGTAGTAACCTATAAAATGATGCATTATATGACTGATTGTATTTTTTAACGATATGACAGTAGATACTTGATTGATAACGAGCTGGGATAGGAGATATTTTTGAACAGTTATTATAAACTGTATTTTGTTTTCATGCAATATGTTTTTCTCTTTTCCAGTTATTTGCAGGGCCACGTATTAATGAACAACTAGATCATTTTTACAATAATTTCGATTTGAACAACTCGTTGATTCTAACTCAACCGTTGCCTGTTTGAAATATCAAAAAATTAAAGCTGCTTGAGATAATGTTACCAAGTTAGATACAAAATATAAGAGTTACAGACATCTTCTTATCTATATAAATGAAAAATTCTAGAAGAGCATTTAGATGTGAACCGTTCCAAATAAGAAGTTTGCGAAGAGAAATGAAGATCTTCAGGATATGGAATATAATAGGGAGTCGAGAAATACGGACAAAAAATCTAGATCAGTTGAATGAAATCAGAAAGATGAATCGATACAAAAATCAAATATGCACCATATTTACTTAAGATAGGGGTACGGTCTGCTTCAGAATGAAATACATTCAACCAACAAAAAAGATTGGTCCAGAGTACCTACTTTATCTCAGTATACAGTGCATTTCTTTAATGTCCCCCTCTTTTTATTTTTTGAATGGTCAAATCAAAAAATAGAAATATGGGATAATGAAATTATTTCATGAATACTGTATTTTGAAGTGAAATTGACAGATGAAACTTTCAAGATGGCAACTGAGCGCCATCTGGAAAAAAAATTAAATGGAAATGGGGGTCTTGTGACACATCTTTCTGAAGATCCTGACGAATACTTCACAACCCTAGAATATGAAGTCGATATCTTCACCTGCTACAAAATGGAGGAACATATAATAATTTCCTGTTTATAAAAACGACAAAAAATGTCAGTACGACAATGAACATCATTGTTCAGTTAGAATATTTTCATTCAGTTTTCGGTTTTATTAGTAAAAAGGTACCATGTCAATAATCTCTGAAATGGTCAATTCTCGTCCATTGGAAGGAAAAATTGAAACGATTTTAATTTACGTCAGACGCGTAACTTTCACGAGACCGAAAGGATTTTCAATGAACGATTTTCGAATCGTCCTGTCTGTAGAAAATATTTGAGGAAACTTGTTTGTATCCAAGTTCACAACTACCGATAGTATATATAACAAAAAGCCCCCAGGTCATCCGTCCCTTCCGGAAGAACAGCAAGTGCAAATAATTGGTGAGATGCTAGTAAACCCTGAACAGTCTACTTATTCCGTCGCGAATGTTTGTGAAGTGTCTCCTTCTACTGTGTGGAGACTTTTGAAGAGGAATAGATATCATCCATATAAAATTAAAATGGTACACCAATTAACTGAAGATGACCCTGATCGAAGAACATAATTCTGCGAAATCATGACGGAAACCATTGCAAGACATCCTACCTATCTCCACAATACTTGTTTCAGTGACGAATATAATTTTTTTTAAACGGCAATGTTTACAAACAAAATTGCCGTTATTGAAGTGACACCAACCCTCACGTTTTCCGGGAAACACATACCTAATATGCAGAAAAAATTAACGTTTGGGCAGGAATATTGGGCAACCATATTGTGGAACCTCTATTCATTGATCAAAATTCAACAGGAAAACTGTATTCGAATATGCTGGAAACTACTGTTGACCCTCTCATCACTGAAATCGTCGAAGCGAATCCTGATGAATTCGATTTGGATATTGTATCCCAACAAGATATAGCACCACCACATTACTCCGGACAAATAAGAAACTATTTGGATACTACTTTTCCCGGTAATTGGATTGGCCGTCGAGGTCCTACAGAATGGCCAGCCCGCTCGCCAGATTTGACACTTCTAGACTTTTATGGGGCTATTTGAAGCAAAAGATGTATGAAACTGAACCTGCTTCAATATTGCATATATGACAGAGAATGATAACGATTTGTAGAGATATTGACGTTACTGTGTTCGAAAATGTTCGGCGTGAAATATCGGATAGGCTGTTCATATGTCAAGAAGTTCAAGGCAACCATTTCGAGAATCTTCTGAACTGACCTCAAGCTTATTACCTTAAATTATGTAGTTAAATGTCAATATATTCAGGCAATTATTAAAAGTTCCGCTATTTTGTACTTTTGGAAGATATTAATATTATATTCTAGGGTTGTGAAGCAATCGTGAGGAGCTTCAAAAATATGTGTCACCTTTTCCATTTAATTTTTTCCCAGATGGTGCCCAGTCGCCATCGTGAAAGCTTCATCTATGAGTTTTACTTCAAAATAAAGTATTCATCTATTAATTTCATTATCCCAAATTTAAATTTTTTGAGTTGACCTGTTCAGAAAATAAAAGTGGGGGCGGTCATTAAAGAAATGCACTGTATGATATTGTCTCAAAATTGAGACAACCTCATAAAATATATTTTTAAACCGATTGTAATGTTTTCATTAGGTATATATACGAAAAGTCTATAAAAATTACCAAATTTCCTAAATAACTCATGAAATAACTGTATTCTAATTTTTTCTTATGTCCAAATAAAAACAGATACCACCGTTTCAAACTTATAGATGAAACCAATCGTTTATTTCATATCATTGTGTTGTGTTGGTCTTTTACTACAGTGTAATTTGTTTCTCATATATATTTAACAAGACTCATGATTCAAGAACTTAGTTATAGTTTTAACATGGAAAAACTCTTTTTCGGTGGGTAATTTCATTATTACCTCTTAAAATATTGAAGAAGAACAATATTTATAGGGTTTGTGGTAAGAATGAAGTAGGAAAACAATAATTTTTTTGAGATAATTTGATTACCCAGTAAACATTTCTGAATATGAGACATTTGGATCACTATACATTTAACTAATTGATTGAGTTTGGTATTCTAAAAAAATGTTTGAATGACTACTTAATAAACAAAAAATAACCTGTTGAAAATTATATTTATTTCATGTGGCTGCCTCCACTTCAAGTAAGTCACCCGGTATAATATTTTCTCAAACCGCTTCACAGCAAAGAAAACTGATGGTGAATTCAAATGAAATTTGACTGGGCTACTAAACTGACATAACGTATCTATGAAATTCATGTCTCCCATTTGAATTAATTGTCAACGATTTTTGAAAACGTCAAAAATAAATAAACGTATTCGGAGCTGTGATAACTCAAATCTCGAGCGATGCCGAGGCAACACTTTATCGAGGCGGTAGAACCAACCGTAATAAAATTATCCGCACGCACTGTGGCAGTCCGCACATATATAGGGCCGTCTTATAGCTCTTATAACTCAGTGCATGTTACACACATCTTATGTCCCACACGAAGTGCGCGAAAAAGAGATTGTGACTACACCGGCGAACTGAAATTCCTGAAAATTCCAAATGACTGATTCACACTTTTCGTGAAAAGCTCAACCCAGTCGTGATGACATTGTGATTTATCTTAGGAAATTCAAAAATTGAATGTGATTAGAAAAACCGCCAATCGAAGTTATTCAGTATTCCATTTTTCGTTCCAAATTTCACAGAAGAAAATGAGTGATAAAGTGAAAATGTGATAAAATAATCAACCCCGACTGGTTCGCGAACGAACTTTGTGATAGAAAAACTGACGATTTTGTGATATATTTCGACTGACTTAACCTAAATCAAAATGCCACTAAGTTATGAACAAACCAAAAGGAATCCCTTGCGGATCTTAAAAAAAATAATGACCGTAAGAACTTTCGTAACCTATATTATTTTATTAATATACGTACCATACACATTTAGTAGTGATAGATATGACCACTTCAACAAAACGCATAGTATTAGAAAACGACAAGAAGATACATTAGAATCAGAACATGTACAAACATCGGGATGTCAAAGGTGCAGAGTAAGGGAAGAAATCAAAAAGAGAAACATATACGCGATCAAAGAGAAAATTTTGAAACAGATGGGTTTTGACGAAGCTCCCAATATAACAGGAAAAATTCTTCCTACCGTGCCTGCTGAGTATCTAGCTAGAATTGAGGAGAAAAACGAAGGAATGCAAAGTGATCAACCACATTCTGCAGGAGGATATTATGCAGAGGAGGAAGACGACTACTCTATGAAAATGGAAAAAATTTGGACATATGCACAACTTGGTGAGTTATATTTTATCTCGTTTTTAGAATTCTCGATCAGCAGTTGATATTTTTTGGGTTCAGATAATCATGAAATTTTATACCAACATTTCGATTATTTATTATTTCCCTGGAAACATAAATATAACAACCAAAATACTCTAGAAGTGAATGAGGTCGAATATTCTGATGAGCTAGCACTCTTATCGAGTTTTGTCATTATGTGGAATTAATAATAAACACTCAAAATTCAAGTTCTCTGCAAAAATCGTCAGTTCATCATTACGTTACATTCACCTAATTTATTCATGCCATATATTCTCGTGTAGATTACAGTGAATATTGTTATCTCAGTCCTATTTTGTTTCAATTAAAAAAACATTTCAAATACAATTGTTCTGGAACGGTCCAAAAGTCCATGAGATACATATATTTGATAATTGTTGAAATTTTTTGTGTACATACATAGCTACAGTTGTTATTTGTTATCTCAACGTCTTTGAATTTAAAAAGTAAACCAGATGATTTTTTATGTCTTCAAACTTGCAGATATCTTCTCAACTGAACGACTCATTATTAAGATGTCGTCGGTTATTTAAATTCAATTTTTGAGAAGATGATTATACATATATTAAGGGTTATTTTGTTAACAATAATACTTCCCAATATTTCTCAATTGCAAATTCTGAAGAAAGCTTCCAGAAGATTCGAATATTCGAACCTGAAGAAGGCTCAGTTCCATAACCCGAAACTTTATATAGGTGGAAATAATTTTCAATCTTATTATTTATCAAAAATACTTCTTCCTGAAAATGCTGGAATTCAACAAGGTCGTCTTTGACATTACTGAATGTATTAATGGAAAAAATATTATCAAAACTTGATTGTGCAAAAATTTTTATGAATATTTCATAATAAAAAAAACTTTCAATAGCTCCCGGATTCTGTATAAAATTAAGATGCACACGTGTTATTACAATTTAAATTCCAATTCAAATTGAATCACCTAAAATACCGGGTGTGTGAACTTTGTGAAAATAGTTGACGACATACAAGGGCCAGATTGTTGATAATTCACTCGTCCATCAAATATAATTCCATGGAGTTCAAACAGATCGGTTCAATTACCCAACTCGGAACATAAAATATTATTCAAATATGTGTTTCCATTAACCAGCTGTCATCTTCAGATGAACGACAACCCTCAAAATTCTAAACATGAGCGACATAAGGATTAACGAGGTTCTACCTTTCAACTTGCGCTGTTTTCTTTTTTACCAGGTAGCAAGTCACAAGTCGTTACATTAATGTTATGGTAACATATCGATAGTGATTCATTTGTGTGTCTTCAATGTTCTTATGCCAGACCTCCGTTATTTTATGAAAGCTGAAACCAGTACCTTTCCCCATCATAGGTAGGGAAAGATGGCATACCCTGAGGAATCATCGTGGCTTCGGCAGATAACAGGTAGCAAATGTATGAAAACTCTTCACCAGATACTCTTGAACTGTAATAAATTTCAACTCTACTTACGTTATATTGAAATAGCCGAATTTTGTATGTATGTTATTTAAGTAACTATGAGAGGATACTTCCTCAGTAATCGGACAAATTCGAAGTTTCTAACACCTGGCCAGACAAAGATAAAAGTTAGGTGTAGATGCAATCGCGAGTGAGACAGTGAGGTGTGATCCAAAAACAAACAGTGCTGTTTATTTTAATTAGTTGTAGTGAAAGACAGAGAACGAATCTTGTCGGTGGTCCATGTCGAAGCTTGGCTATGCAATTGACCGCCTTAGGGAGCCTCGTTTATTTTTGATATTCGAGGCTTGAGTTCTCTGTCGATCTTTTAGGGGGCGCTCTGGTTGATGTTGAAATCTGTTTGTCTATCAACCAATTATCAGGATACCATTGGCAAGAAAATGAACATTTCTTCAGAATGATGTGCCACTTGACCGTCACTTCTCATTTCCGATTCTCAGAGTTGAACTCATGAGGCGTTGAACCAAAAAAACTAAAAATATTCAGATAAATAGATAGAATTCAATAATCTGAACACGAATCATATACATGAGACAGTTTCAGTATAATAGATACACATCATCATATTGAAAATAAAAAAACAAATAGAATACTAATATACTGAGAATTGTGCGTGAAAAATCTTTTGAAAATGCAATTTTGCAACATGTACATTTAACATGACAAAAAGTAGATTTATTGAACGTACATAACTTAAAACTTAAACAAAAACACATTCATGACATGAAAATGTCAAATACAATATTCAAGAAGAAATCTCTTTAGGAATGTTTTGAATTTATAAATACATATACGATTTTCAATGCATGATAGAAATTGGTTGTGAAACTTGCTTTCAGCATACATTAGCAATTTCCTATACTGATTCAACTTGAATTTTGAGGTGAGAAGGTTGCCACAACGTCTCGTACGATATGTATCGACATTTTCATTTTCTTTAAATTCAATGATATAGATGGATATTTACAGTTTGTATTAATGAATGCCAGTTACAGATGATATGTTGTCCAAGAAAGTCCTTCAAATTTTACTAAATTTCAGATCAAAAATTAAACGAAGGGATCTCCTCAATTTGAAATTGGTGAATACGTTTTCCGGTAACAATGATGAAAGTGTCATCAGCATAAATAAATAATCTGCTATCCTCAATGAAGTTAGGCAAATCGTTGATGTATAAGAAAACAAAACAATGGACCAAGTACTCCACCTTGAGGGTTGCTCAAGGAAGTTGATATGACTCGAGAAGCTCCTAATCAATCACAACTTCCAGTGGCTCCGCCGATATACATTTGATGAAACCCTAATGATTTTAATTCAATTTCAAAAAGTTTCGGATTGTATGTTTCACTAGCATGATCCAAATGAGAAAAAACTGTGGTTGAGTAGAAGATACGGTCTCTATTGGGAAGTGCTTCTGAAACCCATTTTAGTAAAGTGGACAAGTTTTCAATTTATGATTTGTTCATGAAGAGCAAATATTCTCGATAATTAATCTCTATGGTAGATTCCACGTTAGCTACATCCAATCGATTCGGAAATGATCCTTGTATCACAAATATGTTCGGAATAGATGCTTGATGATATGCCTCACCAATACTAGAATTTCCTTGAATCCAATCAATTTTCATCCAAAGATTCAGCAAACAATTTTCTACTCAAAAAGTTTCCAAAAATTTCTACGTGAGAATATCGTCATTTCATCAGTAATATCAAAAAGTGAAATCCAAATCTTTGACGTATGTCATCAAAACTGATATACATATTAATCCATTAATTTGTGATTATATAGCGACTAAATACCAGTATCAAACATATGTTATTCAGCCTGTCTATTTTCAGCAATAATATTACTGAAATAGGTGTTCGCGAACGACTTCTATTCTCAATTATGTAAGTTGCACGCAGATATTTCTTATGAAAACTTGTTAGTGGTCTTAACGCCTATTAAATACATAGCGAATCCAACTTGGTATGCTGTCGTATCAATCATTATGAATTTATTGAATACCGAGTTGAATTCCTCTCAATTTCTGGTTCCATAGGCTTTCCATAAACATAATAAATAATAAATAAAAATTAACACGCGCACTCATTGACAGATGAGATATTCGATAAACGAGGACATGTGCATGAAATTTAATGATAGTTATCAATACGGATAATTATTATACGTTACTAATACACTATTATAGGCTCGGTGTAACAACGTAACAATAATCGTTATCAACTTGAAATTAATTTTCTACTTCCTACAGAAAATATCTTCAAATTTATATTGAGAGTATTGATTGAGTTTTCAAGGTATTATGGTTCAGTATGCAAATTTTACAAAAAAAACATTTGATGAGTAATTTATTCACGTTTCACAAAAAATCTTATGTTTCATCTAGTGACCAGAGATCCAATCTAAAATGTGTTTATGTCAAGATCATTTAGATATACGCTTCGCTAACATTTTATGACCAAAGATTGAGCTCGTAGGGCACTGTCTTCGAAGCCCCGATACATTCAGAAAGACACGATAGCGTCATCAACCATTGAGCACTTCCCACACCAAGGGGAAAGTAACCATTGGGTCCGAGAATCATGTGCCCGAAGCGAAAGCGATGAGCCAAGAATGGCAGCCCTCCGCATTTATCCGCATTTCTTTCTCAGGGCGGCAAACCGGCATGATCTTGAGATTCAAGCGGAGAGGGGCATCATTTCATTAAGGATTCCAATAATCAAAACCACCATCTTGGCAGAGTGATCTGGCTAGGTGGAGTTCGAAAAGAAAATTTTTATATTACATTAATGCGAAGCTGAAAATTTCACGACGAATATCATCTTGCTCTGATAGCCAAAAAAAACCTAATCAGGCTCAATAGCTTGCATGGGCCTGAGGGTGGAAAATGAATAGTTTCAGTGAATTCTGTACTTCCCATTCCGCAAAACGTGTTCAATATCTCATGGAGCATAAGGCAACACCGGTGTTGCCTTATGGTTAGGCAACACCTTTCATGGTTAATACCATGAAAGCGCTGTAGGTGCTAAAAAATCTTAGAGCCGCGTTATGTCGATAGATATAGTTTGAGAAAGCATATGCTGGACATGCCGGCTGCAAGTGCATTAGGGTCTCAGCAGCCTTGCGACAGACCCTGCACTTGGTGTCAGGAATCTCTATACCCATCACGCGACTATAGTAGACTAAGATGATGAAACATACCTAACAGAGTATGATGAACCCTTTAGTTTCGGACTCCAATCAACTCGTTCGGAGGAAAGCAACTGGTCTGGTGCTTTGATAACCTGAGATTTTCAATGTTGTTAAAGGAGACTCTATGCTTGTCTTTGTGTTGCCAAAGGAGTGGAGTGATGTCTACGGCGTTCAGACAACTTCTTGATGGCATTTGTTGAGTACAATTTCACTCAAATGTTCAGTATGCTACGCAACAAAAAATCACATATTTTGAAAAAAAAGAGGTCAAACTGTCAAATA